GAAGGATGGGGAGGGTGTGATTCACAGCACCCCCGAGACCATCCCTTCCTGAAGCCTTGTGCTTCCCAGCAGCTCCCGGCCCTTCAGAGGGGGGACTGACCCCCCCTTTGCAGTGCCGAGGCTCAGTCAGCCAAAGCACAAGTTCTCTGTCTATTCCCACCCAGTCCCACCACAGCCGAGACCCCCACCCGTGGCGTGGGCAGCGTGTCCCAGACCTCCCCTGTGCCCAGGAGGACCCCTGGTTTCCCTCCACTGCTGGGTCCCTCTGGAATCCCCTGCCTTTACATGAATAAAGCAGTGCTTTTTGTGACCCGCTCCGCTGTGGCAGCACCCAGGCCACAGGGAAGCTGGTGTGGGAGGGACAATGGCCGGTTGGGAGAGGGAGGGGGGGAAGGTTCAGCAGCCCCTGCCCGGGGGAGCATCCTGCTGGAAAAGAGGGAGCCCGAGGTCCTGCAGCCCAGGGAGCGCCCGCTTACCCACAGGAGGGGACACCCACTCTCTTGGGCAGGCCTCAATTTCAATTTTACAATGCTGCCATCATTTCCAAAGCATTTTCTCCCCCCTCTCCACACCTGTCAGTGGTGACTGGGAGGGAATAGATGGAGGTGAGTGAGATCCAGGCGCAGGAGCAGAGTCTCCGTCGCTGATGGAGGAGGCAGCTGAGTGTGGAGCGGTGTTTCTGGCGTGTGTGTGTGTGATTTGTCTTCGATTTGTGGGCAGGAGCTGTGTCCCCTTGTGCAGGAATAACCACATCTTGCTCTTCTCACCTCCTCGCTCCTCCCTGGGTGCTCCCCTGGGCTGGCTGTGGGGCTGAGCCCCACGGCTCGGTGTCTCTCCCGCCGCAGGGTCTGGTCACCCCTCCTGGTGTCACCGCCGGCGTCTTCCTCATGCGTGAGGAGCTGCGTGAGGGACAAGAGGGAAAACAGCCTCCCCATTCCATAGCCTTGGAAGAAAATCTGGGAAATTTTGAGATGAAAGGAAAAAAAGCACTGACAGTTTTTCCAGAAGCGCTGGGCTGGGCTCCCACCCGTGGGTCTGGAGGGAGCTGCCGGGAGGGTTTGCTGAATGCAGCTTTGTGCCACAGCTCATTCGAGTTACCCATGCGAGAAGGAAGATTGAAGCTGCAGCGAAACATGTGATTCCCCTGCCGACACCTCCCCGACCGCTGGGAAGCGTTCGCTTGAACTTGAAAGACCGAGGAAACATTGAATGTGAAGAGAGGGATATTTTTTCCGGAGCCGAGGCCTACCTGCAGCCTTGCTGATGGCAGCAGCCCCGCTCCCGGCGCTGCGGGTGAAGCATTTGGCTCCTTCCCCATTTAGGCTGTTCGGGAAGGCTGCCGGAGCCGCCGCGGGGGTGGTGGTAGCACAGGATGAGGGGAGCAGAGAAGATCTGAGACCCTCCTGGCTCAAGGTTTTGTCACCGGGTGTCCAACTGTCCCCGTGTCACAGCATCCCCAGCAGCAGCGCAGCACCTTCACCCTTGGCTGGGAGGCTGGAGCTCTGTGAGCCCAGGGCCTGACCAGAGGCTCGGAAGGGTGGGCTGAGGAGGCCACCATGTGTCACGTCCCTCGCTTGCCTCTTCATGGTCTCACCTCCCAAGCCCGAAGGCATCTCCTCTCCCCTTGCTGTTGCCAGAGCAGAGTTTTGGCTGCGTCATCCAAAGTGGGGGTCCATCGGGACCGTCTGCTTTCTGCTCTCCAGACCTGCCTCAGACGAATGAGCAGCTCCCACAGGATTCCCGTCCTGCATGCCGTGGGACCCCAGCCCTTGTCCCCCAGGGCTGGGGGGTCCCCAGACTGGCCAGGCACAGGCCAGCAATGGGGCTGGAGCTGCTACCACCACCTGGGGTGAGTCCCAGCACCCTCAGGACCCCTCTGAAACAGAGCAGGAAAGCCAGGGCAGCTTGAGGGAAGTCAGACCATCCCCTCCATCCCACAGCCAGTGATGGCCCAGCCCTCCCAGTGCAGGGCCCAGGCTGACCGCGAGGGCTGAGCCACTGCTGCAGAACCACTCTGCCCTGGTCACTGTCAGGACAAGGCAGCTCCCTCCGGGGTTTGATTATTACCCAGGAATTGACAGACAACAGCTTCCAGGGCTAGAGGACGAGTAGACAGAGGTGATGGTTACCTGGGCTGGAGAGCAGGTTCTCCGGGTGCTCCCCAGGCAGGAGCAGCACCATCCTCATGCGATGCTGTCTGTTCTTGATGCCAGCTGAGCTCTTTGCTTGGTATTTCAGACACGTGCTGCCACGCAGAGAGGAACTCTAGCCCTCAGCTTCTGCCCTGAACAGTCTTCACCAGCCAAAGAGAAGGACATGCCACGAGCAGCCTCGTTGACACACTTAGCATCACCTGGGAGGCTTTGGGGTATTTGCTCTAGAAGCAAGGGTCTGATTGCAGTCCAACTTGCTGCTTCTGAACTCCAGCTCCTTTAATCTAATGGCAGACACAGAGCTGGCAATGAGATCTGGGGGTGTGTGTCTGTACCTGCTCTGCTGCGAAGCCCTCAGACCCCCGTGCAGGTCTCCAAGAAGGCACTAGATGGAGGTACGTGAATTCAAGTCCAAGTGTTATTTTCAGGCTGTGTCCTCGCTTGACAAGTGGCTGGAGCTCAGGAGCCACCTGCATGTCCCTGCCGAGACCCCCCACCTTCTGTCACAGGACACGCAGCCAAACAGGCTGGAGCAGAGCTACAAGAGGCTGGAAGAAGGGGTGGGGGCTGGGGACAACCACCAGCTGCAGGTGATCTGGGGCCGTTTCACCCTGCCAGGTGCTGGGTCAGGGAACACCGGGTCTGGGAATGCAGGCTGGGACCCCTCGGGGCTGCAGCAGGAGCTCGTTGTGGGGCTCTGGATTAGTGGGGTCTCTGAGCTGATGGTGCTGCGTGGAAGAAGCCAGAGCATGAACATCAGGCCCCAGGCAGTGGCTCATTAGAGCTGTGTTTGTCAGCAACACCACGCAGCAAGAGCAGAGGTCTGAGATAACACAAATGCCACAGATTTGTCCCATAACGAAAGCAGCTACTTAATCTCGAGGCCAGTTTCCATGTGCTGGTGGTTAATGTTTAATGGGGAAAAGCCTAGAGCAAAGGAATAAAGTAAGAAATATTTAATTCTACAGTGTTGTTTTGCACCATATGTTTTCCACTTAATAAATATTTTAGGCACTTCTGCTCAACAAAGACGGGGTCTGTCTTCCATGGGCTTGTGTGTCTGTGCTTCCCTGAGGCAGGTCCTGGGCTCCCCACCCTCTGCCAGTGCCTCTCCCCCAGGCAAGGGGGGGACACTCCTCCCCATGGCCCCATCTCAGCCCTTGCACAAGCTCCAGCTTCATCTCAGCCAGGAGAGGACGGGGGAGAATGGGGGTCCCAGCCCAGCGAGGGGCCAGGGCTGTTTGGTGGGGTCTCCCAGCTCTGGGGCACTGGGGGGACGGTGAGAGTGGGACGTGGGGTCAAGAGCAGCAGAAACCAGCAGTTCCTGGCCGGCACTCAGAGATTTCCTGCAGTCCCTGTGGCCACCAAAGGCTCGGGAAAGGGAAGGCTGGGGCAGTCGGTGTCCTGATGACCCGGGCAGCGTCAGCCATCGCAGGACATCCTGACAGCAGGGCACAGAATATTTACGTGGAATTTTTGGATGGAGCTGTATCGTGCCGTGTGACCTGCCCCCTCCACGGGCTCTGAAATCTGCATCACAGCCCAGGACAAGAACTGCTGCCGCTGGAGGTACCACATCTCCCCCAGCTCCACGTGTCTGCCAGGTCCCTCTGAGGGAACACAACACATAACCTGGGGAGAGAGAACCCTCCAACCCCCCCACTGAGCTGCCCCCCGCCCCCCCCGGGGCCTGCTCTGCTCCCAGGGGTTGGCCAGGCAGGACCAGCCGGGCTGGTGTCTCCTCCCCATCCCGGGGTACCTGATGTGAAGCCCTTTTCTCTGGCGGTGCTGCTTTCCTGCTGCTCCCGTGGCTCGGTGGCCCTGGGGCCCAGGCTCTGCCTCTCCCCAGAGCTGTGGGGAGCACCAGCCGCCATGGCCAAAGGGAGCATCCCAGGGCCGGGGATGTCACACGCTGCACAATCTCCGCCACACACAGACATGTCCAGTAACGTATATATATTATATTATATTTTTATATATATATATACACACATTAACAAAGAAGTTGCAAAAAAAAAACCAAAACAAAAACCCAACAAAAAAGGGAAGAAACATAACAGGAAGAACAGCCCTCCCCCAAACCAAACCGGAACAAACATGTTGCGTGGGGAGGGGGAGGTGTGCGGGGTGACGGGGGGCTCACCGCATCCCAAATCCCTACAGCCCCCCCCGCGCTGCCCCGTGGGAAACGCCATCATTCACCGCCCGGGGCTGCAGCGCCTGCGCGGGCGCGGATTGGCTGGAGCTACTGCT